AGTCAATATGTCACCAGCACAAGGACAGGCTCTGCAGCCACGAGCTGAGGGCATCGTTCCATGGGACCATGCTCCTCCTCCTCCTCACCCCAGAGTCCCTGCACAGCCTGCCCAGACCCCTCTCTCTGTCCCCTCTTAATTGCCACGAGCTGACGTCATGGATCAGCCTGATGATGTCATGGATCAGCCTGATGATGTCAGCAGCATCCTGTCTGCCCACCCCACCCTTGCTGCCACCACCCAACAGCCCGGGGGTCCCTCTGCCCCACAAGGTGACATAATGACCCCCTCTGATGATGCCATTTGTCACTCAGGCTCCTGGTGGTGTCACAGGCTCCCACACTCTCCTCGGGCACCATCTGAGTGGGACATTTCTGGTTCCCACTCAATGACTTGGACAGAATTTAGGCCATGAGGGATCTTTGGGGCACAGCGGGGCACCCCCAAAACCTGGGGGGAAAGCCAGATCCACCCCTGGTGCTAAGAGAGCATCACCCCCACTGTCCCCAGCGGTGGGGACATCAGGGACATCACATCCAGCCTGGCTGGGGACAGCAGGTTTGGGGGCTCCCCCTCCTCCTCCAGCTCTGTACAGAGCACGGGGGGGCACACGGGGGGCACGGTGCCCCCCGGGGGCAGCTTTCTCAGATGGAGAGTGCAGCAGGGAGCGGTGACAGCATCCCCCTGGTCCCCTGCAAGCGAACGCGGAGCAATTAGCTAATTGCAGCGGTGGGCGCCTGCCCCGGCCCCCCCTCGGCGCTGCCGAGCGGGCTCCGCAGCACTTTGTGCTTAACCTACATTCGCTTTTGTCCCGGCCGGCGCGGCCGGAGCGCGCCTGGGGCCCTGCGTTCGGCTCGGCCTGGAACGGCACGGCTCGGCCTGGCAGGGCTCCCCCCCCCAAGCAGCCCCCAGCCCCAAATTAAGCAGCCGGGGCTCAGCTGGGTAAGTGGGTCACGCTCAGGCAGTGACACGACACCACACGCGGTGTCCCCAAGACGGGCTTGGAGTTTTGCCTCCTCCCGGGGAGGGTGATCACAACAACTCCTTCCCCAGAGTGTCTCTCTCCCCCGGAGCATCCTGAGCATCCTCCTCCATCCCTTCCCGGGGGATGGGAAGCGCTCGCAGCCTCTCGAGAAGCGGCACTGCCTGACGACAGTTTCGATCGAGCTTTAATTAACTCACGAGCCTCGGCGCTCGCTGTGAACAAACAGAGGCAGAAGGCGCCCGCTCCAGCTGTGGCACGGGGCCAGATGTGCCGTGGGGGTGCCCGGGAGGGTGGCAGGGGACTGCGCTGCTCAGGCATGTGGCCCTGGGGACCCACGAAACCCCTTTGCCCTGGGGGAGGACCGGGAGCAAAGAGGTTAAATCTCTGAGCTGGGGACCAGCCCCGGTGTCCCCCAGAGTGCGGTGACAAAGCGATGTTGGGGTGCAGCTCGTGGTGTGTCCTGCTCCATCCTGGGGACACCCACCAGCACCCAGCCCCATCAACCTCCACTGGGCTGCACTCGCCTCCCCAAAGATGCCCCCACCCCGTGACCAAGCACCCTCGGTGTCACCCCTCCAGCTCAACGGGTCCTGAGCCCCCATTTCCACCCCATCCCTGTGGGGCTGCACCCTTCCCTGGGTCTGGGAGCCTGAGGAGCAGCAAATTCCTGGGGCACCTTGAATTGTCAGTTCCCCATTATCACCCCGGGTCCTGCCTGCATTGGTGACACCGATGCCACCGGGATGCCACCAGGATTCTGGTGCCAGTGCTGAGCTCTGCCTGTTTTTTTTCTCCTCCTTGATTGTTCAGGGATACAATTCCAGGATTCAGGAGCTGGGTGGTCGTGCCACAGCCACTGCCTGTCCCCGCGGCTTTAGATCAGTCCCATGGTCTCAGCAGCCACCCTTTGGGTGCTGCCAGCACCCCTAAGTGACACCTCCACCCCCTTCCTTTCCTTCCATCCACAGCCAGCTAAAAATCCCGGAGCATCGCTGGGATAACCGGTCAGGAGAGCTGACCCTGCTCGTGGCTTTCCCCCGGAGCTGGTGCCTGCCAGGACGGATTTTTTTCTTTCCTGGGATGAATTTTTCCGCCTCGGCTGCCAGCGGGGTGGCTCGGGGCTGGGGAAGGGGCCGAGGGAGCGCAGCCGGCGCCGGTGACGCGGCAAGAAGGGGCCATTGTGGCCGGGCACAGCTGTGCGGAGAGGGAAGGGAGCGGTGGGAATGCAAAATGCTGGAGAGGGAAGGGCTTGAGGGATTCACCGCCCCGCGACGGGGGTTTCCCCACCCCACACGTGCCCCGGTGACAATAGTGGCTTTATGGGCAGCGACTGCCCCAGGAGCTGCTGGGGTCTGGCATGTGCCATCCCCATGGGGACAGGTGGGTGCTGGGGACACCGTGTCCCCATCCTGTCCCTCTGCACAGCCAAGCAGGGCGCTGGGGCGCTTCCTGGTCCCCTTGGAGCCGGTATGTGCCGCCAGCAACCACCTCTCGATCCTGGTGGAGAAGGGTCCTTGAGGAGGTGTGACAAAGCGACACTGGGGATGAGGAGAAGGACAGGGAGCTGCTCCGTGCCCTTCCCAGCACTCCTCTGCGACCCGGCGGGCAGCAGATCCTGTTTCTCTCGCCGAGCTCTCCTGAATTATTCAGGCGCTGCCTCCGTGGGGACGCTCCCCGCCGGCCCCAGCGGAGCCCCCCGCACCCAGCCGCGACTGGTGTTACTGGTGGTGTGAGAGATATCCAGGCGGGATCTGCCGTGGGAGAGGGAACGGGATGAGCCGTGAGCCTCCCCGGGGACGGGCGATGCTCGGCGGGCGGGAGAGGAGTTGCTGCAAAGCCCCGTTTCATTTCCCTGAAAGGAGAGGAGGGACGGGGGGAGAGGCCGCTCGGAGCTGGCCCAGATCCTGCTGCTTCTCTTTTTTATTCCCTGTTTTCATGCGGCGCCAGCTCCCATCCCCACTGATCCGCAGTGGCTGCTCCATCCACGTGGGCAGCATCCATGGATTTGGGGGGGCTCCCCCCGGTGTGACCCCAGCCCTGCAGGGACCCCCAGGAGGGTTTGGGGTCCCACACCAGGGCTGGAGTGAGGTGCAGAGCTGTGCAAGGCGTGGGAACATCCCTGAGATTGTCCCGGAGATGGGAATTGGGGTGGTGGGCACACGGGAGTGCCTTGGGGGTAACAGGGTGCCCCCCACGTGCCCACCCTGTCACCCTCTGCTGCGCCTTCAGCAACGGCCTGAGAGAGGTGAAAGAGCTGCAGGGTTGTCCCAGTGATGGAGATTTGGGATGGGGGTGCGGGACAGGACAGGAATGAGGACATGGGACAGGGCAAGAACAGGGACAGGGGATGGGACAGGAATGGGGGGTGTGGGATGGGGAAGTGATGCTGACACAGGACAGGACAGCAGGGGGGACACAGGACCGAGCAGTGATGGAGACACAGGATCAAGCAGTGATGGGGACACAGGACCAGGCAGTGATGGGGACCAGCCCTGCCAAGAGGAACCCACCATGTTTTGCCGGCGCTTCTCGAGCTCTATTCACCACCACCCCTGGATCCATCAGCATTTCCCTGAGCCCACCAGCCCATTCCATGCCATTCCTGGCTAATGGCTGGTTTCACACCTCTGCCAAGGGCCAGCAGGACCAGATGAGCCCGGGAGGGTGATTTATGCCGGGCAGGTTGATGGCACAACTGTTCAGGAGAGCGAGAACAGCTGCTCCGGCTGTTCCGGCACAACATGGGGTCGGGAGCAAATCCTTGGGGATAGCGGGAGTGGGGGTGATGCCCCAGGGGTGTTGGGCACTGCCATAGGGTGGGGTGGGGGGCAGCAGGGCTGGGGGGCCGGTGAGGATCTGGGGTTCGCTTCCCAGCCGCTGCGTGAGACCAAGATTCAAGTCAAGGCTCCCATTAATCCAGACTTTAATCCGCTCTAAATCCCACCTTTAATCTGTTTAATGCCACCTTCGGCGATTAGAATCGTGTGCCGTGGCGCCTGCCAGCCGAGCCAGGAGGAGGAGGAGGAGGAGGAGGAAGGGAGCTTGGAATAGGGGTGCAGACCTGGGCATGGCTCCGTGGGATTGTGGCATGAGGGGGGTCCCCAGCACCGGGATGAGCTGAGAGCCACGATCCCCCCGCCGAAACCCTCCTCCACACACAGAGCTCGACCGGCAGCGGGGCAGCCCCGCCCCGTCCCCCCCTTCCCAGGGCTGTTACATCCCCACGTCGGGCCCCCCAGACGAAGGGGGACGTGCCAAGACCCCCGGGTGCTGCCCTCGCTCAGCCCGGTCTACCAGCGCCCTCCTAAGTTGTTGCTCATAAGCACCGTGGCACGGCGTCCCTGTCACCCACCCGTGCCCCCACCACCCACCCGTGTCCCGTCACACACCCATATCCACATCCCTCACCCGTGTCCCCATCACCCATTCAGGTCCCAATCATCCACGCGTGGTCTGTCACCCACCTATCTCCCATCACCCACCCATGTCCCATCACCCACCCATGTCCCCATCGCCCATTCAGGTCCCCATCACCCACCCATGTTCCCATCGCCCACTCGTCTCCATCATCCACCCGTGTCCCCGTCACCCATTCAGGTCCCAATCATCCACCCATGTCCCGCCACCCACCCGTGACCCGTCACCTACCTGTGTTCTCTCACCCACTCGTGTCCCCATCACCCACCCGTGTTCCCTCAGCCCCTCGCATGCCCATCACCCACCCATGCCCACACCCCCCGTGTCCCCCGGGGGTCCCGTTCCCCCCCCTCCCCGTTCTAACGGGACCGTCCCACGCGCGGGACCCGCGGGGGCGCGCCCGGCCCGGCCCCGCCCACAGCCCCGTCCGCGCGCGCCCATTGGCTGCTTCGTAGCAAGCCCCGCGTCGCCATTGGCTGGCGCCGTCCTCGGGACACGCCCCCCGCCCCCCTCCCGCCCCCGCCGCTCCCGGGACCGCGCGGGACTTGGAGAGACCGCGGGCGGGAGGGCCCGGGAACCGGGAATAGGGACCGGGAATCGGGAACAGGGACCGGGAACTGGGAATAGGGACCGGAAACTGGGAACAGGCACCGGGAACCAGGACCAGGGCCCGGGAACAGGGCACTGGGAACCGGGCACCGGGAACTGGCACCGGCATCGGGCACCAGGATCCGAGAACCGGGGACAGGCACCGGGAATCGGCACCGGGAACTGGCAGCAGGAACCGGCATCGGGCGTCGCAGACCGGGCACCGGACATCGACACAGGCCACCGGCACCTCCACCGAGGACCGGGCACCGGCTCCGGGCACCGGGCACCGGGATCGGATCGGGGAGCGGACACCGGTACTGGCCGCGGGGCCCCGCCGGGCAGGGAGAGGCGCCGGGGGAAGCGGGACCCCCCGCCCGGCCCCGCCCCGGCCCCGCCCCAGGCTGGCCCGGCCCGCCGGGGGCACCGGAGCTGCCCCGGTCCCTGCGCCGCGCTCCCCGAGCAGGCAGGTAAGGGCCGGCCGGGCTCTGCCGCCCACCGAGATCAGACCCCCTCCCCCGGCACCTCCCGGCACCTCCCGGTTCCCTCCAGCCCCCCCGGTATCCCTTTCCCCCGGTCCGTAGGGGCGGGGGCTCCCGGTGCCGGCCCGTTTCGTGCTGTGTCCCCCCCTCCCCGGTGTCACCGGGCACCGACGTCCCCACCCAGCCCCCTGGGAGCCCCGGGGGTAAAGGAGGGTTTGGGAAGCCCCGAGGGGCGGGAGCTGCCGGGTGGGCAGTGCCCGGGGCCGTTCCCGGCAGCCCCGGGCCGTGCCTCGGTTTCCCCAGGTGGGTAAAACACGGGGAAAGGGCGATTTCCCCCCAAATCCCGCGGAAATCCGAGGGGGCTGGAAACACCACCGGGTCCGGTGGGTGCTGGTTAACGGGAGAAGGCACCGGAGCCCCTGTCACGGGGTCATCACAGACCCACGTGCGAGGACAGGGCCGGGTGCCCCATGGCAGCACTTGGCTTCGGGCATTGCCAGTCCCTCCTCCCCTCCCTGCGCTCCAGAGGATGAAATTCCTCCATTCCCGGAGAGACTAATCCCTTCGGAGAGGTCAGATCCCACCCAGAGCAAGAGTTTGGTGAAAAACTTCCCAACTCTGACCCACCTCCCTCTGGAGCAGGGAAAGATCTGGGCCATAAACATTCTTTGCTGACCCCAAGCCCAGCACCGGATCCTGATTGTCCCGTGGAGTTTTCTTCCCTCCTGGAGCGACTTTGTCCTCCTGATCCCGGGGTAGGAAGCATGTGATGCCCCCTGACCCCCACCGTGGGCCGGACAGACGGAAGGATGGTGGTTTGGCCTCAGTTTCCCCTCTCCCACCCTCTGTTTTCTACTTCCCCATAAGTCTCCGTCTGCTCCGAGCGAAGGGGAAAGGAAGTTGCTGCCAGAGAGAGCAGCTTGATGGCAGCTGGAGAAAGAAAAGGAGGAAATGGAAGGCGAGACAGATGCTTCAAAATTAACCCCCCCTTCCTCCTCCTCCTCCTCTTCCTCCTCTCCATGAAAAAAAAACCCTTCCTCCTCTTCTTCCTCCCCATTCTTTCCATAAAATAACCCCCATTCCTCCTTCTCCTCTCCATAAAATAACCTCTATTCCTCCTCCTCTTCTTCCTCCCCATTCTCTCCATAAAATAACCCCCCATTCCTCCTCCTTTTCTTCCTCCTCCTCTCCATAAAATAACCCCCATTCCTCCTCCTCCTCAACCTCCTCCTCCACCTCCTCCTCCTCTTCCTCCTCTCCATACCGCAGCTGCCTCCCCCTGGGGCACAGTAATCCCAGGGGGAATTCCTTGATACTGCCACCAGATCCTCAAATCAGCCCCCCAGGATCCCCCCCCCCCCCCCCATGTGCCGGGATCCCATTCCCACGGGAAGCGGCGGCTGGATTCACCGCCACCCACGCCCGGGGTTGGCATCGCCGGAGCCCCCTCGGATCGGCCGCCCGGCTCCTTGCACAGACACGTCAGAGCTGCCGGGGCGGATCAGCATTCCCAGGCAAAACCAAGAAAGCTTCTCCTCCTTCCCGTAGGTGCATCTACGCGGGAAGGAGGCTTTGGGATGGAGGAGCTCAGCTCCCGGTGCCAGAGGTGTCAGGGAGGGATCGCGCTCGGCGCCTGTGCGGTGCCGGTGCCCCGCGGCATTCCCGGTCCTCACTCCGGCCCTGGGTTCATCCCGGCCTTGCCAAGAGCTGAGTTTTTGCCTCGGGAGAGGTGTTTACTCAGTGGCTTCCTCCCCGGCCTCACCCCGCTGGGCACACACGCGCCGGATCCGTGGGATCCGTGTGTCAGCCCGGCGGCTCCGGCTGCTCTTTGCACCCATGGCAACGTGCGAGGCGCGGAGCACGCCCTCCCTCCTCCTCTCTCCCTCCTCCTCCTCCTCCTCCTCCGCTCTTCCAGCGCTGGTGGAGTTGGGCTGTGGGAGCTGGAGGGGTCAGGGATGGCGGGGCCAGGCTGCTGGGGCTCTCCGGTTACTTCCCGGCGCTCCGACCCTGCAATCCAGCGCGGCGGCGTTTAATTAATTAATAGGGGTTGGAGTGGGTGGAAAGCGATGCCGGGGGACGGAGCAGGATCCCATCCACCCCCTTGGCGTTTAGCCAAGGATTCGGGAGGAATGGGAATGCTGGGGTTGCAGAGCCAGGGGTGTTTTCCGAATCGGTGGGAGGAAACAGCTTGTGGGATGGAGGGAAAATCGGGGAGATCTCCACTATTAAATGTTTATCCTGGTTGGGAACTGATGTTTCCGTGTTGGAGGGAACTTGTAGCAAGACACTCCGAGTTCCTATGGCCCTGTTGAGGAGGAGGGGAAGAGGAAAAGGAGGAGGAGGAGAAGGCAGAGGTGCCTCTGCTCTGAGCTGGAGCTTTGCAGAGCCTCCCCCTCTGCGCTGCTCCATAAATTATTTAAGTGCTTTCCCTTTCCTGCATGAAATATTCACCCGCTGCCAAGGGAACTGGGAGAATTTGGGGGGGGAGAGCCTGCTGGTGGGAACCAGGTGATGGGGACAGTCGAGGTGAAGGACCTTTGGGACTGGTAGAAATGATAATTGGGACGGTGTCACTGCTGGATTTGGCCCCTTTCCATAAAGGACCTCCAGCTGGTGCTCACTTGGCAGCTCTGCCGCGGCGAGTGCTGGTGCCACCGGTGCCAGGTGCCAGCAGGATGACGAGAGTCTCGCGTTCCCCTCGAGCTTTAATTGATGCTTGTGCCCAAAGTGGTGTGGGAGATGTTTTTTTGGGGGGTCCCTGGGGGGCGAGGTCGCAGCCAGGTGTGGGGTGAGGTGCTGTGGGTGCCGTCCCGGCGCGGTGAACACCAAACCGCCGGCGGAGGTGGCCACGGCACGAGTCCATCCCCGGGGGAGCACACCCGTCCCACGGCGGGGACACCCTCTGTGTCCTCTCACGGGACATCCCAACCTCCACACCACCGCTGAGGGCTGCAGAACTGCCCCCCCCAAACCTCCAAAATGGGTGGAAACCCCCCCAAAGAGGGCTGTGACCGTCCCCGAAGCCGCCACGGGCACCGCGGCCCCGCTGCACTCTTCCGGAGCTGGGAGGGGACTCGGTGACAGCAACACCCGGCTGCTCCTTTTCGGAAGAAGAAGCTGTTTTTTTGAGGGCGTTTTCATTGAAAAAGAAGAAGGGGGGGGGGGAACCCAAGCCCTGAGCCGGGCTGGAAACTTCAGCGACAGGAAGGAAACGAAGTGGGTTATTTCAGGCTCGTGTTTGCTCCTTGGGGCAAGACTTGCCTCTTCCGCGCCCCTATAGCAGCCCCTCCGTGAACAATGGGGTCGCGGGGCCCTTCCCGGCAGGAAAACGGCTCGTTCCGGTGAAAATCTCCCCGTTGGTGCTGAGTCAGCAGGTCCCAGTGTGGTGCAGAGGGTGCCCCGTGAACCGTCCCGGTGCTGAGCGGGAGCCAACGGGAGGTGAGCTTGGATCTGCTTGGGGTTTGCTGGGAGCGACCTGTGGAACAGCTCACGGGAGCTGGTTGCGTTTTTGGGGTCCCTATACCGCTTTTGGGGTCCCTGGACCCCTCTGTGCCTCAGTTTCCCCCGGCAGCGATGCTCCTCACCCCGGTTCCCAGCAGGAGAGGGCTGTGGGCGGCCGGGTGTTGTTTGCTGCAGGGAGCAGAGGGTTGATCCGTTATTCCAGTTGGCATCTGGGAGCTGTGGGCAGCTCTCAGGAGATGGCACTTCCTATTTTCTGTGGGCTCTGTAGGTGGAGTTTGCTCTTGCTCTATGGCTGCGGTTGCCCGGTGTGGGAATTCCTATTTATCCAGGCACGGCTCCCGGCAGGGAGCCCAGGGCACCCCACAGCCATAAGGGAGGGGACTTCTGGGTGGCAAAGCCCTGCTCCTTCTGGAGAGGATGCCGAAGGAAGTCCCCTTAGAGCCAAGGGAGAGAAGATGGAGCCACTCTGCCTCTTCCCACCCTGCCTGTCCCTCTGGGCTCGGCTCCGGCGGCACCTCCTGGACTCAGCCTTGGCATTAAATGGGCCTCACTCGCCTGGGAGCTGCTGTCACACAACCTCTGTGTTGTCATTTTCGTCTTGTCCAGTGCAGGAGCCTCAGCTCGAGGCTCCCGCTGGCACAAGTCAATGCTTTCCCCTTGAAGGAAGCGCTTCCAAAGCTCCGTGTTTTTCCTGAGGGCCGTAAATAACGCTGCAGGCGGCGGCTCATGCGGCAGCTCCCGTAATTCACGTCCCCACAGAGCCTTGGCTGCCCTTGGGTTCGGGGAGCTGGAGGCTGGAAGATGCTCAGGGAGTCGGGGCCCATCACAGTTGTCCTTGCACAACTGGCTGGGTGAGCCTTGGCTCCACAGGGAGCTGGGATTTGCTCCTGAGAGCCTGGTGTGTGCTCCAGAGTGGCAGGAGCAGGATTGGGGATCTCCAAAGGGGTCTGGGACCGGGTGGCAGCTTGGCCTAGGGGAGACACAGAGCTTCCTGTGATGGGGACAGACTGAGTTCTGCACCAGAATCCCAGAGTGGTTTGGGTTGGAGGGACCTTAAAGCCCATCCAGTTCTACCCCTGCCATGGGCAGGGACACCTTCCACCAGCCCAGGTTGCTCCAACCTGGCCTTGGACACTTCCAGGGATGGGCCAGCCACAGCTTCTCTGGGCAACCTGTGCCAGGGCCTCCCCACCCTCCCAGGGAAGGATTTCTTCCTAATATCCAATCTAAACCTGCTCTCTATCCGTGGCCAATTTATCCCCATCCATCCTCACACCGGCAGCCTCCTTTAGCTGAAATATCTCCTCTCCCCTCCCAGGGGATGTATTTATAGCCTGAGCCCGTCCCTTCCCGCTCTGCCAGGCTGTCCGTGTGCCATGTGCAGCCTCTTGCATAAGCAGCCCCAGCTCTGCCCATCCATCCATCCTGGCTCCGGAGCCGGTTGTTTTCCCGCTGTTCTTGCCTCCCCGTGATTTGTAGCTCTGCAGTTTCCTGGGGCCGAGGCGCGTCTCCAGGGTCGGCAGCGTTTTATTCCATCACGGCGGCTTTGAGAGCCGCGAGCTGCCCGAGGTGATGGATTTGGTCCCGCCGGGATGCGGGAGCCGGGCTGGAGGTGAGGGCTGGAGGTGAGGGCTGGAGGTGAGGGCTGTGTCTCCCTGAGTTATTCACCTCCGTGCGACGCTCGTGCCGGCGCTGGAGGGAGCCGAGGTGGCGGCAGAACAAGTCCGAGCTCGTGTGGGTGGATCAGGGCAGTGCCAGGGAGAAGGGCTCCCACGCAAATCCGCAGGTGCCGCAAACCGGCCGCGCTGCTCCGGCCCCGCCGAGCGCCGGGGTGGACGTGGCACGAGGCCTTGGGGGTGACTCAGCTGTCACCTGGGCTGTCCCCGGCTCACCCCGCAGGAAGTGAGTCAGGGTTTAAGGAAGGAAAAATGTTGAAGGGATGGGGCAAGAGCCCTTCCTGCCCCGGGAGCGGAGGAGGGAGCCGGGGATGGAGGGTCACGGGCGGTGCTCAGGTAGGGACGCCTCGCTCGCTGTGGGTTCTCCATGGGAGAGGGAAGGTGGGAACACCCCTCAGCTCATCCCACCATCCAAACCCGGGGTGTGAGCTCAGCTCTCGCCTGCCCTGGCACCCAGCAGCTGCCTCGGTCTGGCTGTTGGCTGGAGGTGCTCTTTCTCCTGCCAAAAGGCTGCGTGGGAAGGTGAGGAATGATGGAGCCGTGGAGTGGTTTGGGTTGGAAGGGACCTCAAAGCCCAGGCCTGTCCCACCCCCTGCCATGAGCAGGGACACCTCCCGCTAGCCCGGCTCGCAGGTGATGTGGGACAGATGCAGGGCACGGTCTGACCTGTGTGTGCCTCTCGCCCTCACAGAGATGGACACCTTCAGCACCAAGAACCTGGCCCTGCAGGCCCAGAAGAAGCTCCTGAGCAAGATGGCCACCAAAACCATCGCCAACGTCTTCATCGACGACACCAGCAGCGAGATCCTGGACGAGCTGTACCGGGCCACCAAGGAGTACACCCACAACCGCAAGGAGGCCCAGAAGATCATCAAGAACCTCATCAAGATCGTGATGAAGCTGGGCGTGCTGTACCGCAACGGGCAGTTCAGCCCCGAGGAGCTGCTGGTGATGGAGCGGTTCCGCAAGAAGGTCCACACCCTGGCCATGACGGCCGTCAGCTTCCACCAGATAGACTTCACCTTCGACCGCAGGGTCATGTCGGGGGTGCTCCTGGAGTGCCGGGACCTGCTGCACCAGGCCGTCAACGGGCACCTGACGGCCAAGTCCCACTCCCGCATCAACCACGTCTTCAACCACTTTGCGGACTACGAGTTCCTGTCGGCGCTCTACGGGCCCTCCGAGCCCTACCGCACCCACCTGCAGAGGATCTGTGAGGGGGTCAACAAGATGCTGGAGGAGGACAACATCTGAAGGCTCTTGGCAGCCGGGCTCTGCCTCCCGGGAGGGTGGAGTGGGGTTGTTTGCCTGCTCTGAGCCCTTCCTCCTCCTCTGCAGTGCTCACTGGTTTTCCCCTCGTTTCTACAGGAGACTGAACACCTTGACTTTTGCCCACCCCTTGCCCAGGGGCTTCAAAGCCCTCCCTGCGCTGGGCCGAGTCCTCTCCAGGGGATCCTGGGATTTTGGGCTCCTGCTGTACAGTTTGATTTCCTTTGCCCACCAAGTGTCCTTAGCTCGGAGTCCGAGGACTCTGAGCCTTGAACTCTGTCGTAACCCTCTGGGGGGAAAACCAAAGCAAAGCCTGGAGGTGTGTAACACCTCTGAAAGGGGTGTCTGAGCAGGTGGGATGTTGCTGGTTGTGAGACCCCCTTCCTGGAGGGTTGTGGGGCTCCGTGGTTTTCCTTCAGCAGCTCCGTAACACCGTGGGAGCAAATCATGGTGCAGAGTTTTGCTGCCCGGGATGGGAAGGTGTGGGCTTTGCTCTCCTCAAGGACAAGTCCCTGAGAGGAGGAGGATCCCACCTCATGTGACAAGGGAGCTGCTCCTTCCCTGCATCCCGGGTACCATCCAACCCCCAGCTCCCCACCAGCTTCCCATGACTGTCACGGCTCCGACGCCGCCCTCGGTGGTTCTCCAAAGTTCTCCGTGGGATTTCATCCATTTTCCATGTCGTCTGAGTGATGGTTGTTCTTTTTTAGCAAACTCTGTAGCCCTGATGAGTTATTTAAATAAACTCACCTGTTTGGCCTGGGAGCTCCGTGCGGTTGTTCCAGCGGTGGGTGACAGCGATGAAATGAGCCCTGGGGACAGCTGGGTTTGTCCTTTGGATGGTGGTGGCTCTCTGTGACCTGGGGTTTGTACTCCCTGACCCCCTGGCTGGGCTGTCCCTGCTCCGTGGCACAGCAGCTCCTGGATTTTCATGGCCAGGGCTGAACCAGTGGAATAAACGGGGTGTTAAACCCAGCATAAAGCAGCAGCAAAGGTCTGGGATCCTGGGGGGAGCAGAGAACTGGGGTTGTTCAGCCTGGGGAAGGATCCAGGGAGACCTTAGAGCCCCTTCCAGGGCCTAAAGGGGCTCCAGGAGAGCTGGAGAGGGACTTTGGACAAGAGATGGAGGGACAGGACACAGGGAATGGCTTCCCACTGCCAGAGGGCAGGGTTAGGTGGGATATTGGGAAGGAATTCCTCCCTGGGAGGGTGGGAGGCCCTGGCACAGGTTGGGCAGAGAAGCTGTGGCTGCCCCTGTATCCCTGGAAGTGTCCAAGGCCAGGTTGAAGCAACCAGTGGAAGGTGTCCCTGCCCAAGGCCGGGGGTGGCACTGGGTGAGTTTTAAGGCCCCTCCAACCCAAACCATTCTGAGATTCCGTGCAATCCTGCACCCAGCAGACACCCACACGTGCTCCTCTGCATCCCCACATCCCCTGGCTGCTCAGCAGGAGCCAGAAAGCACAACCCTGACAGCAGGAGGCCGTGGGTGACTCCGCAGAGTCGGATCCGGGCGCGTTGGAACTCTGGGAGCGGGGACGCTCCGGCTGCCGCCGCTCCCGGCATGATGATCTCTGCTCTGAACACTGAAAACTGCCCTTTTAGCACACAAGGCACCACACAGCCTCAGCTGGCCTTATCTCCACGACCTTCTTGTGCCTCCTGTTCCATGGGATGTGTCCGGGCACGGGCGGCTGCCGGAGCTCAGAGCAGCTCCATGGCTCCCTCCCCACCGCCGGCCCCAGGCACTGATAACTTTCAGCCTTAAAAAGATTAAATAAAAAGAAATCAAGCCCCCACCTCTGCCATTTCACAGCCCTGGCTCCAGCAGTCACAGACAATTGCGTGGCACAGCTCGGGGTGGGGGTAAAGCACGTTCACAGGACCCACCTGGGTGTTGGTACCACAGGGGGAAGTGGCCTCTGAGAACAATTCCTGTGCTCCCTGGGCTGGTGGCAGCTGTCAGGTGTGTGCTGGAGAGGAGCCAGAGCTGGAAACCACAGGCAGACGTGGTGAGATGGGGCTGAGGGACACACTGGCAGCCAGAAATGCTTCGCTGTTCCCTTCTTGAGTTGCTTTTCAGTGTGAGCTGCAAGATGCTCCTTGGTCACATGAGCCCCTCTCGTGGCTGTTCCCTTTGTCCCCATGATTTCCTACACCCCAGGCCCACACTTAACCCCCCAAACTCTTCACAGCTTCTCTTCACATCCAGGTGTCTCAGCTGAGCCTTCTTCCCCACAGCAAACACCTACCTCACCCCCAAATCCTTCCCTTTTTGTCCCAGGGAAGGCCTGGAGAGCAGACTCTCTGCCAGAAGAGCCATCTCACAGCCTGGGTTTCCCATCCCAACCCTGGGAAATGAGTCCCTTTGCTCTGGTTCCCTCCAAGTGACTGGTTTAAACAGCAGAAGGGTCAGAGACCGGCAAAATGCAGCTCAGAGCACAGGGGGGAGCACACTGGGGACACTCCTGGGCCCTGCAGGTCATCCACAGGTCCATAAAGTGACAGACAGAGGAGAAAAATGCATTTCAGAGCAGCCTGGAGAGCAGAGCTCGTAAAACCCCCAGTGCAAAGCACACCCAGACTGCCAAAAAACCAGGGAACTGCCCCAAAAATGGGCAAAGCACCAACCAGTGATCACAACCAGCCAAAGGGATCAAAGGTGACAGTGCAAACTGACAACTGCAGCCTTGCTGTCACATGCTGGGGCTCTCTTTGGCTGGGCAGAACCCCCACAAACCCTCTGCACCCCCCCAAAATTCCCGTGGGCTCCTCCTGGCCGAGCAAACCCTGAAGGTCCATCCAGCTGGGAAGGGCAGGAGTGAGAGAGCAGAGCAACCCCAGGCCAGAGCACGCTGCTTCATTGCTTTATTTGTGCTGGATTTACACAGGAAAGGAATTGCACATTCCCTGTTATTACTGCAGATAAGAAAAAAAAAAATCACTTTTCTTGTAGGTATAAAACAGTCCTGTGGCTGTGCTGAGACGTGGAAGTGCTGCTTGGATTGATTCCTGGTTGTGTCAGAATAAGCTGCTCTGCCTTCCCCCCCATCCAAGCCATCCCCTGGCAGGTCCAGGGCATCCACCCCAGGGATGATCTCTCAATAAAGAGTCAGGAGAGCTTTGGCCAACTCCATCCTCTCCTCCTCTCTAAATGAATTATTTCCTCCTGCCACGCTGGTGGAGGGAGAAATCCCATCTCCCCTCCAGAGGCTACAGAGTTAACAACTTCCCTTCAGCAAACCCTGCTTAAATCCAGCCACTCACTTATCTCCCTGCACTGCTCTTCCCAGCAAGGGAGATAAGGAGCCCCCCGTGCCACATTCAGAGGATCAGCCAAGCAGGAAGAGGGCCTGGAATGGCTGCCTGTGGATCAGGAATCTCCAGGGAGGTTTCCAGCTGCAAAAGCACGTTGTTACTCTGACACAAGACAGAATTAAATGTGCCCTCACACCTCCAGGCCCCGCTCGTGTGGGACCCCAGCACGTTTCAGTATTGAAAAACAGAAAAGTTTGGCCAACCCAAAAAGAAAAAAAAAAAACAAAACAAAAACCCCTCAGTTAAACCAGGAATCCTCTTTTCCTGCCACGTTCTTCTGGCCAAAACAGCCTGCCCAGGGCTGGCCTCGGGGGTCACAGCTCGTCACGGGGTGTTTTTGCTACAATCATGAGCTTGGACAGTTCAAAACGGAACTTGCCTTCCCTGTGAGACACTGGAGAGAGAGAGAGAGAGAGAACAAGCACAGGATCAACAGATGGGAAAGCACGAACAAAACAGCCCAAAAAAAGCACAGAGGCACGAACAAAACAGCCCCGCTGGGTCCCTTCCAGGGTGGGGAAGGCAGCGAGTCTGGGCACTGAACTTCCTCCTCCTGCACGTGACAGGCTGGTGGGATAAAACCCTCCTTCCTCCACCTCCCTGAGCTGGAATGGGAGCCCCAAACCCCTGCTGCCAGCTCTCCAGAGCACTGCACCCCTGGCACTGTCCTCCCATACACTGTCACCTGTCAGTGTACAGGATTTAAGCTTAAACTGCCTCCCACACCACCCCCTTCCTCACGCGGTTCTCTCCGTCACAGACCTGTTGTTTCAGCGACTTCAAACTCTTCCTGTTTTAAGGGGATGTCGTTTTGGGCACCCACAGCAGCTTGAGACTGAAACAGGAAGGAAGAAGGTGTGAGAGGGTTGAGGCAACCCAAGGAGTTGCAGCGTTCAAACCCAACAAACAGCAGCACATTTTGGGAAAGAAAAAAACCCAACAAACAAATTTGTGAGCTGTGTGGAGCAAAGGAATTACGTCCACAAAGGAAATCTGAAGGAAAATCTCTGCCTGTTTTTCCATTTCTTACTAAAGCACAGACTGGTGTCCTTGGGGTGATTGAAAACCTCACCCCTAAAGGCTGGGGGATGGAAGAAGGAGGCAGACGAAAACACCCGGAGAGGTTTTATTTACTTTGTCACATGTGATTTGTTGGGGTGATCCAAGACTTCCCACCATGTCGTGCCTTTTGGAGCCCCCCCTTCCCAGCAAACCCACGGATTTGAGGGGGCAGAACCACAGTGGTGCAGGGGAGCCCACCTGCAGCCCCTCTCCTGCCCGCCACCAGCCTCTAATTGGGGACGTGCCGGAGCACATTTCATTGCACAGATGTCTAATAAATGTTTTCCGTGCCTAATTCATGTTTTATAGCAGCCTCCCACACTCCTGCTTCCCAGGGATCAGCTGGGACTTACATAAGCCATGGCATACTCTATCTTGGCTCCTTTCACTTCAGCTTTAAACTGGGTAAAGAAGAGATAAGACTTCCCCTGGGGCCTGAAACGAGAAAGCAGAGCCTTTGTCAGCGGCAGAGAGGGTGGAGGTGCAGAGGAGTGAAGGATTCCCAGCTCCCTCCCTCCCTCCACAGCCACCTCTGGATCTCCTGCAGCTCCATCCAGCGCTGAGGGTGGGAGAGGGGGACACAGAATATTTATAAACCAACACTGGGTGAAGAGCCCAGCAGAGCCACAGCACCCCTTGGGAGAGGAAAACCCTCCCTGCTGGGAGGCAAATCCACCTGGGGAGCAGAATCCCTGTCCCACATCCCCCCCTGGCTGGCTGCTGGTTTGGCTGAGGTCACACAGAACACACCTCCAGATGGAGCAGGAGAAGAGCCCGTTGTCTTCGCTGATCCCAACGTTCATCTGCCATTGCTGCAGAGGGAAAGGTCCAAACAGTCACTGGGGGGAAGAGCCTCGTGCTCCCTGCACGGCCCCGGGGCCACTGACCCCCCTCCAGCTGCAGGATGAGCTCCAGCAGCCCTAAAACAACACAACAGTCCCTCTGGCACCAAGCTCAGGGCCTGGTGGCTCCCTGTCCTCTCCACAGTTCCGTCAGTGCTGTCACAGAAAAGAGCTTAAAAGTCTCATTTCCTTTTAGGCTAAAAAATAAGGACTTGGCTGAGACAGGACTTGCTGATAAGAAAGTACAAATAAAAAACCTTCCAGCCTCCCAGAGGAGACAGGAGTTACTCCTGCGAGGTCCTTCCCACCAACTGGGGTGTGAAAATGTCACTCCCAGTTCTCCAGCACAGAGATTTGTTAAGTCACACGATACCAGACTGGTTTGGGTTGGAAGGGACCTTAAATCTTATCCCATTCCACCCCCTGCCATGGGCAGGGACACCTTCCACTATCCCAGGTTGCTCCAACCTGGCCTTGGACACTTCCAGGGATGTGGCAGCCACAGCTTCTCTGCCCAACCTGTGCCAGGGCCTCCCACCCTCCCAG